TACAATAGGTCTTGTTTATTTGCTTGTTTGTTGTGAGACAAGCTCTTGCTATGTAATTCAAGCTGGCCCTGAACCAATGGGAGATCCTCCTGCCTCAACCTCTCACCATGCCCAGCTCTAATATACTTTTTTTTTCCCCCTTTGGGTCTTTTTTTTTTTTTTTTTGGCGGAACCGGGGATTGAACTCAGGCCCTTGAGCTTGCCAGGGAAGCACTTATTCCACTGAGCCATCTCCCCAGCCCTCTTTGGGTCTTTTTCAGACAGTGTCTTGTCATGCAGTAAGGCTGGCCTGGAGCTTACTTTGTAGCCAGGTGGTCTTGAACTCATAATAATCCTCCTGTCTCAGCCTCTCAAGTGCTGGAATTACAGGCATGCACCACCATGCCCAGCCGCCACAGATACAATTTGAAACGAAGTTTCAATACAGAGAGTTTAAGATCACACCAAGCAACATATATCTAAGGCACCTGTGAGCACTGTTTGGTAAAAGTATAAAAAGCAGGCATGGTAAAGACACCAAGTCTGGTGAGCAGGAACGCCAGAGACAAGAGCAGGCTTCACGAGGCCAGGCCTGCTGCAGCCACCTCAGCTCTGTAACCACTGGCTGCTCTTCCGGGTCTGGCCTGAAGAATGCAGGGAATGTCACCTCTCACAAGGTCCCCCTCACTCAGTGCTAGGGCTCAGCAGATCCTACTTGTTATTGCTTTGATGCTCTCATTACCTAGAGTTGGGGTAGAGGTCAGCAGACCAAGAGACAATACATACAGCCAGGCAAGCTTCAAGCGCACTGCAATGGGATGCTCTGTATGGCTTCCTGCAGTTACTCCCTGGGATACCACACAACCACATGTACAAAAGACAAAGGCGCAGGGCTGGAGAGATGGCTCAGTGGTCTAAAGCACCTACTTGAAACAAGCTTGGCAAAGCACAGGGACCGCGGTTCGATCCCCCAGCACCACATGCCAGCCAGCCCCGCCCCCTGGTGGGCTGAGCTGGCCACACACACACACAATAAATGTAATAAATAAAAAAAATAAAAAATAAAAAAAAAAAGACAAAGGCGCAGAGGAGCGCTCTGCACCTCCACCAGCAACAGAATTCTATTCAGTGGAGACAGTGGCATGCAGCTTGAATGCCAGCTGAGGCCTGAGCATCCAGGTTTCAAGGCCAGCCTAAGTAACAAGTTGATAGCCACGAAGAGGCTTTTAGAGGAACAGTCTACTCTCAACTGTAATAATCATACCATACAGGAGTATAGGAGAAAAGAACTTATCTCAGCTGAAAGGATCACACCAGGCAGACCAGATGGCGCAGGACCGGGGTTTAATCCCTGGTGTGCTGTGCCAGCCCCGCCGCCAGGGCGTGCTGAGACAGTGACCTCTGAGACTGGGTGTGGCAGCACACACCTATAATTCCAACGCTTGGGAGGCTGAAAAAAGGAGGATCACTTTGAGTCCCATCTGTGTAGTGAGACTCTGTACTAAATACACCGAAAGAGAGAAAAGAAAAGAAAAAAAGAGAAAGAAGGAAGGATGGATCACATTTCTTAACCTCCTACGATCCCAGTCCCACCACCTGCAGTGCTGTCCTCTGTGCCATTGGCACTTCCATCTACTAGATACTAACTTGGATCGTGCGCAGGGTTTCCCTGTGACTGCTAGTGGTGGGAAGTGTACTGTGTGGAGCGAAAGGGGCACTGGACTGGGTGGGAGAGAACAACGTACATACTTAAGGAATGAACAACATATTCGCAGGCAAACATTCCCATGTCAATAAAATGATAAAATAGGCCAAGAATACAGCTCAGTGGCACAAGTGCCTGTCTGGCAAGCATAAGGTCCTGAGTTCAATTCTCAGTACTAAAAAAAAAAAAAAAAAGATAAATTTTGTGATGGCACATGCATGAAATCTCAGCACACAGGAGGCTTAGACAAGAGAATCTTGTTAGTTTAATACCAGCCTGGGCTATAAAGTGAGCTCAAAGCCAGCCTGAGCTGCATAGCAAGACCCTGTCTCAAAAACAAAAAAATAATAAAGTTGTGCACTGTGATTTCCCATGTAGGTCCTCCTTGATACTCTCTTTCCATGAAACCAACAAGATTCTAAAAGGAAGACCTACACTTTTAAGTCACTACATCATATTCTCTGTATTGCCACCATGCTCAGTCTTGGTGGTTGGCTCAGCATGCCTGAGGTGGGGTCGGCATGGCATGTGGTACTGGGAATCAAACCCAGGTCCTTATACTTGCCTAGGCAGGCTCTTAACACTGCTGAGCTATCTCTGCGGCCAGTGGAGTGATTCTTTTATAAAATGAAAAGGAAAGAGAAGTACAGGATAAGTGTGTTTTACTAGGGGTTGAAATAAAGTTTTGCCTGTGCCACCTAGGCTCAGGGAAGCACTTTCCAAAGTGATATGCTAAGGATGCAAAGGCTTCTGTGAGCCACCCCTGCACTGGATTCTCCGCACATGGCAGGCCCAGCTGGCTGGCCTCACACACACAGAGAACACGCTATGGGAGCTAGGGCTCTGCTCCCCCAGAGCGGTCACAGCTACTCTATGCTCAGCTAACCATGGGGTCACTGCTCAGCAACTTTGGGCCAAAGAAGGAACATCCTTCCCCAGACTGAATCTGCTCTCCTCTCTTTTCCCTCCCAACCATGACTCAGCAGTTTCTTTGAGCTTTGCTCAACTCCCTGCATGAGCCTCTCCCAGGTCAAGACACCTGCATTCTGTGTTCCTTCCAAAGCTCCTAGTTACACTACCAATCCCTTCCTTCAGTGTCCCTAACAGGGCACTTTTGTGTCACTGCCCAGCCTTAATTCTCAGCAGGCAGCCCCGGACTCCCAGCCCTGCCCCTCACACCACCAACATAGATTTCTCTCTGGCCAAATGGGTGTGAGTGTGGAGTTCAGTGGCCAGACTGGGCTGCAGCTGGCTTGGCCTTCTCCATGCAGCCACTAAAAACAGCCAGAACGCAAGAGATGAGTCACCCAGAAAGCAACAAAGGAAAATGACAGACTAGGGTCATTAGAGACAGTGGCCCCTGCTCAGGTGTCTCCTGAGGCCACACTTCAAGTCCTTGGTTACAGTGCAACAGCCCCAATTTCTGTGTGCCTGGTTTCTTCCTGGAGGAGCAATTATGTTCCTGCTTGTGCTAATTACCCAACAGTGTCACCAAAGCAGTAACTTTCACATTCCGGTGCAACACTATAAAAGACAGGCACTCTGGGAAATTATACATTAAAAGGGAAAGGATGGAGGAGTGAGAGACAGCTGATAAATGAAAAGGATCTGACGAAAGGGAAAGCTTTTAAGAAAGAGTGTGGAGGGCTGGGGCGATAGCTCAGTAGAATAAGCACTTGCCTGGCAAATGCAACACCCTGAGTTCAATCCCCAGTTCTGCACCCCTCCCCCCAAAAAAAGAAAGAGTGTGGCTTTGGAGGCCTGTAGTCTCAGCATGCTCCGAAGGCTAGGGCAGAATTACAAGTCTAAGCCGAGCCAGGGCAACTGAGGTCATTCAGCAAGACCCTGTCCCAAAATAAAAAAAAAAGCGTTGGGGATGTAATTCAGTGCTAACTCCCTGTGATCAATATCCAATACAAGTAAGTAACAAGAAAAAATTACTTTTGATTCAGCTCAAGAGAAATTTAAGAACTTGCATGTGATAGGCACACATCCTGCTAGGCACAAGGAGATTTTAAAAAGGACAATGCACAGTCCTTGGCAGATGTTCGGACTATGCTACCCACAGTTACACAGGGCCATGAGCAAGGCAAGGAGGGCTCTGGCCAGAGCAAGAACAGAGGTAGGAGCCAGCGGGCCACGCAGGCTAGGCATCGCGTGTAGCAGGTGGCACCAAGCAGAGTACACTTGGCCCGATCGCCATAAGAAGCAATCCCAGCACCCACCTGCACTTTCTCAGGACGTCAGTACCTACCTACAAGTCAGGACCCAAAACCTCATCTTGTATCATAAAATGCATGAATACTACAGTCAGGCCAAAACAAATTTTAAAGAGTTTTGACTTCTGAAGAGATCACATCTCAGTTATGATTTTGGGGTTTTTTCTGGGGGGATCTTTAGAGACAGGGTTTTGTTATGTAGTTCACACTGGCCTTAAACTCAGTGGCCTCAAATACGCAGCGATCCTCCTGCCTCAGCCTCTCTAGTGCTGGAATTATGGGCATGCACCACCACACTAGGATAGTTATAATTTACAGGTCACATCTTCACATCTTAAAAAGCAAGACGGTCGGGGACATAGTTCAGTGGCATAAGCATCTGCCTGGCAAGTGCATGGTTCTGAGTTTGATTCTCAGTATTAAAAAAATATAAAGCAGTAAGAATTCACTGTATTATTTCAGATAGGTGATCAAATTCTAAAATTATTTGGCCACTAAAAACATTAAGAAATATTTTATATAAAATATTAAGGAAGAACTAAAAATAATATTTTCTTGTTTCTTTCTCCCCCTTTTTTATGGTACTGGGGATAGAATTTGGCATTACACTTCCCAGGCAGGTGCTTATGTCACTAAGCTATCTCCCCAGTGTAACATTTTCTTAAAGATAAAAACTGCAACTCATAAACAAATACACTACTTTGCTAGAAATGCACCCAAAATAAATAGTACATACCATGGGGGGGGGGGGGGTCACACACGCATTATTCCAGCTCAGGAGCCAGCTAAATAGCTAGTAGTAATCATGTAATGCTGCTGCTGTGGGAATACTATTTGATGAAATTAAATTTAGACACTAAAAAGAGAAGACAAAGTAATAACAGGACTACATATAATACAACATTAAATTGAAAAGGTACCTCCAAAAGATGTTTTGTGAAACAAAATATATTAACTATTTCATGAAAATGTTTACAGTTCAGTGTAAGATAACGAGGAGGCAACTGCCACGCTTCTGTGTCCAAGCTGTTCTAACGATAAACCTTCCTAAAGCACCCCTCTCTTCTTCCTTCTGTCAGACATAAAGGTAAACTTACTTCATCAGAAGCAGATCGAAGACACTGGACAGCAGCCTGCTTTTTCATTTCCTCTAGAGTTAGATCTGAACACTTCTTCTTACTCTTTCCCCATTTCTTATAAGCTCCTTTCTCCCAGCCCAGGAAGATGTCATTCTCCTGCAACAAGATCACAACACATTAGAGGACGAGTAATCGTAAAGTTCCAAGAGCTACTATTTCCCTAATTTACACATACAGTTCTTTACCCAAGATTTATAAAGTAGGACGCGCTATGCTTGGTGTGGGACCATACACCGGTAATCCCAGCACTCTGGGAGGCTGAAGAGTGCACCAGAGCCTGGGCAACTTAGTGGGATTCTGCCTCAAACTAAAAAAATTTTAAAAGGCTGGGTATGTAGCTCAATGTGAACACCATAGGGCCAATGAGATAGCTCAGCAGACTAAGCGCCTGCTTAGGCAAGTTCAGGGACCAGGGTTTGGTCCCCGGCATCACAGGCCACACCAGCCCTGCCCCCGGGCACACTGAGCGGGCCACCCAGACCAGGCAGTGATGCACACGTGTAATCCCAGCACAATGGGGAGGCTATAAAGAGGAGAATCACTAGAGTCCGGGTCCGAGCTATATAGTGAGACCCTATACCAAATACATTTAAAAAAAAAAGCGAACACTATGATTTCAATCCCCAGTACTGCAATCAATCAATCAATCAATCAATCAGAAATAAAGGACACATTAAGAAAAAACAACATTCTCGGGCGCCTGGGCCTAGCTCAGTCCTTTAAGTGGCTGCTTCCGCAAAGCTGTCAGCCTCAGGTGGCTGGAGTTCGAACCTCACAACTCTCCTGCTGGCCAAA